TGCACCAATCTTATATATTTATTTATTCTCTTCCTCCTGGATGTGTAGACCTGCCATTCCTCATCCGATGATTGACTCATTTGATCAGTAGATTCTAAAGGTGGCTGGACCGTTGTAATCACGATCCTCATGAGTCTGAGTAATACTAACATCTTTCTGGACCTGATGAGATAATCGTGAAACAGTAGAAATATTTCCACCTGTATTATCAGTGATAGGATCTAAGGCAGGCGGGGTCTGATGAATCTCTCTCTCCCCCACGATAGGAGGTTCCAAAGATGGGGGAGCTACAAGTGGGGACTAAATGGTTGACATATTGCCTGCGGGGAAAGTGACGTCTTCCGGGGTATCCTTCTGATGATCAATAGTATCAAAAAGCTGGAGTTGATCAGGAGGAGATGAAATCACAGTCTCTAGCGGAGCAGTTTGCTTTTTTGGTCTAAGGTGGGGGTGTAGATGATGACATTGATTACTGGAGTGTCCAAACATGCGACAGTTCGAACAATACAGCGGAAACGGCTTTGGTTACTATGGGCTATGGTACTTATCTTACTAATTTCTTAACAAGTTCACTTACGAGAACTAGAGGCAGGAGGACTAAAGTGGGACGGCCCTAACACTTTTGTGTCATTTTGTGGCTTTTTGGTTTTCTTTTTCTCCTTTAAGTATCTTTGCTTTATTTGAGTTTGTGTGTGTTTTTTTGTATAAGTTAAGCTTTTACGACCCTCTCATGCAACATTTCTGTATCTTTTCCTTTTTCATATTTCTCTTTACCAAATAATCTTCATTCTTGAACCATCAAAATAATTCAAAGAAGAAGAGAAATTCAAAAGAGAGAAAATATAATGAAACCAGACTATATATATATAGTACACACGTATATATTGCTACACGTATATATATATAGACAAGTGTATATATAGATATATATATATATACACCTATATACATGATTATAAATAGATATATCTAAATTTATGTACATGCATATATATAGAAAAGCGCTAAAATTGAGCACAAATCAACTTTAAATATATATATACATCACCCAAAGTCAATAATTAAACCATACACAAATCCAACCCAAAATCACAGCCAAACTGACTAATTTCAAATTGAGCACTAATCAAATTTAAATCAATTCATATTTAACATCAAAATTCAATTGGAGCTATTGTTGAGCGTTTGGAGCTATTTATGGGAGCTATTGGAGCATTCCAGAGCTATTGTTCTTGTTTGATTGGATCGTCTCTACATTTGAGGCATTCTTATGAACTTAGTTTTAAGGCTACGATGTTTGTGAAGGAAATTTTATTCTAGGCTTTGTACTCACTGAATCAGACGATGGTTTACCGTTCTTGTGGTGATGATGAATGGATGACGTTCATTTTCGGGCTTTCGAAATAGATGGTTCAGATATGTTTACGTCATTTTGTTCACTTTAGATCGTTAATTGCCAAATGGAGGCTAAGCAATAGGCACCCACAGGCATGATTAAGGGTCTGTTTGGGGCAGCTTGTGCGTTTCAGGATAAGCAGCTTATCCTGAAACGCGGCCCACGAGTCGACCGCAGAGGTAGACTGGGGTCCACGCGCGGCCTGCGTTTAGTGTAAAAAACCCAAACGCGACAGACAACGTTTTCAAAAACGCACAAATCTAACGATTAGGCGGTGTTTTCAAAAATGCCACCGCACTTATAAACTGCCCCAAACGGGCCCTAAGTGACGACTCTCCTCATGCCGCATGACTTTTTATTAAATCATTTAATAATTTCATTAAATCATACAATTTTTTTAAAAATTCACTAAAAATCAATGAAATATCAGAAAAATAAAATAACAGTTATTGTAGACTTAGGAAAGTGGGTAGAATTCAAACAAATTAACATCTAACATTGAGATAAACTATGTTTAGCATAATTAAATAATCAAGTTTAATCTTAATTAAAATAAATGAATAACTAAAAATAAATAAAATAAAAAAAACTAGGAAATTTAAAAATCTTAGAAAGGCATTCAGAATAATAAAATGCACCCTAGGTAATTTTCTTAAGGTTAAATTATAATTACCAGATGAATTCTCATAAATGCTTTATGAAAGTTATAATTAATTATAATTTTAATAAATAATTGATTAATTTACAAAATTATTTAATTATTTTCTTCAATATAATTCAAAACAGAAAGGAACATTTAAAAATTAACTTTAAAATTCACATAATCTCATATAATTTCTTACCTTAATCATAAAAATAGAAAAAGGACTGTGAATTGAACTAAATATTTAATGTTTAATTTTAGGGAAGGGTATATTTGTAATTCAAAAATTACAAATCAACCTTTTCCCTCCATAATCACATCCACCATTCAATGTGACCATGAAATTAACTCAATTGTAAATAAACAACCATTTGAACAAAATTAAATACAACCACAAGGTTTAATTGTGAGAATTGGAAAAACATGCAAATCCCAAAATTGCATATATGACCTTCACATTCCAAAACTCCATAACTCACCCAATTCAATTCCGAATTGACTCAGAGTTTCACCACTGAATAACTCTAGTAAAAAGAGTGCACCAATCTTAAATTCAAACAATTTTGAATTAAATAAATTCATCAATTCATAAAAAATTAATTTGAAATCAAATTAATTTAAAAGTTTTGGAATCTCACCTAAACCACTTCAAAACATTAAGGATTTGAACCGAACCTTCTATTTGGTAGTATTTGAATAAGAAAAAAGAGTAAAACTCTATAATTATATCATAAAGAACATAAATTTGACTTGTAGTACAGACCCCACACACACAATAGATGGTTTGTTAGTACACCGAGTATAGTTCTAGTTTATATTGTTTGTAATTGTAATTGTTTAATGTTTTTGTTGTTTTGTTGTGATTTCCCACTAGAATTATGAGTTTAAGATGATTTTGTTTGCTAGTTAAATGTTAGAATGAGTAGTTTAGTTGCTTTATGACAAACATTTTGTATAGAAGATCATGCTCAATGAGGTGGCTACTAAAATTGAAAATAATAATAGCACTTTTATGTAGGTGTTAAAAATAAAAGTCCTTCAACACTATTTATAGAATAAGGGTTGGGTGTTGCAACACAGTGCAAGGTCCAAGTAACAATTTTATGATATTTACATATGCTTGTAATGTCTCTTGTGGATATAACACTTTTATCCATGTGCCATTGTAAACATAGGGTTCTACTTTCTTTATTGTCAAGTTTGAAGTTAGGAGTTAGTCTATGTTAGTTGGTGTTTTGGTTCTTATTAACTCGGAATATTTTTCATTTTTATCAATTTCTTATTAATTTGATCATTACATTACATGTGTAAATACATCTTCGACAAACCATACATCCCATTAAAAAACCCATAATTTCAACAATTTATACCGATATAATTCTCTCCCATTATTGAAAGATTTATATGGATGCCACACAGTTTCTATGTATTTAGATATTAACATCTAAAATTTCACATTTAAATTAAGATACTTTGGGGGACTTACAATTTACATACATACCATCTAATTCTTAGTATATTGCATAAATAACATCCAAAATTTCAATATTACATGCATACCCATTCTTCTCGCTTATATATATATATATATATATGCATTAAAAATATTATTTTTTTTACATGGTGTTTACATACATACCACTCAATTCCTATGTAATTACATATTTAACACCTAATTTTGCTTTTTTTACATTTATACCTTCCAAATTTTTAATATGGCAGCAAAAATATCAATATTTTAATTTTTAAAAAGTGAAATAAATCTTTTAA